GTTATAGCAACACAATTGGGACTAGGGATGTGCAATGATAACCTTTGATAACTCAGGAAATTCCGGTTATCATGATAACCGGAATTTCCTGAGTTTTATTATTTATTATTTTATTTATCAAATCCAACGACAAGATGTGTTTGTTCTCATGAGAGAAAATTCCATTCTCTTAAAGAAACACAGCTAAATATACACATTTTACACTAGTAATTTTAATCAAATGCTGGATCCCATTTTGTGTGATAGCAAAGATTACAGCAAGTTCCGACCAAGTTCTGAGTTTGAGTGCAAGTCATGTTTTATATACACCATTTATCTATTTTTCGTCACTATACACACGCACCGAACTCATTATACTACGGCTAGTATGACATTTCCCACACTAATAGAAGTAAAACACATGATATTTTTCCATATTTATGTGAAAGCTTTTCATCAACGCATTATTATATAGCATTGCTATTCCGATTCGAGATTCCAATAATGCTGTAGTATTATTGTTTAACAAATGTATATGGAACTTATCTATGAATAATTCATAACCAATACTATCTATGATCAAACAAAGTACATAATTCGTACGGAAAAATCTTATTTACTTTAACATTTATCAAGCTATGTTTAGAGGAATAAGAGTTAGTTGTATAACACAAAGATTACAGACTGAACAATGAGAACGCTTTTCATAAGCGAGACGCTATTTATTTCAACATACCTGAAAACCCATCTTCTCAAATAAATTGAATAATACTAAAGATGCGTTTTCAATTGCGATTTTACATGTTTATTTTTTTCTTATGTTAGTTTTTGTCATCAGACCTGCCAGGCCATTTCCTGCAGTATTCATTCCATCTTGAATTTCGCCTAAAGCATTTAACATGTCTCTGTCGGCAGCAGTGTATCCTTGGTCCGCAGTCCCTGATTGTTTAGGTGCGGCATCGGATTGCTTACCTGCCTGATGGGGTGTTTTTGTTACTGGCGCTAAAACCGTAATCACTCATTAGATTTGCTAAATAGATTTGCTCCAGGCATCTCATATTATATTTTGACCCTTTTTGAGGACAAACTAAAATAATTAGCTCTACACATATTGACCAATAGCCTGTTCATCAACCAGATGAGCTATAAAAAATTTTTCGCAGCAATATTGAGGGAATCTGAACGCGATTTTGCACCCATTATAGGTTTGAGATCCCGCTTATTCCGAATTGGAGGTAAGTTTTTTTGTAGAATCAGTTTTAGGCATGCTGCCAATTCATATGGCTAAATTGCGCTATGTTACTTTACTAAGAAGCCAGTGTCCGTCTGTCCGTCAGTCAGTGGGGTGGCGTTTAGACCTCTTCCGGGGCTCATTTCCGGGCAAGTGATAGCTTAAAATGTTCGTACGGATGTGCTGATGCAGATTTTCAAAAAATTTTAGACAAAATATAGACAAAATTTTTTAGACAAATTTTTAGACAAAAATTTTTTTCGTCGCGGGACGCCGCGATAGCGGCGGTGCTTTTTATAGCTAATAGCTAATCTGTTACTACAGTTTCCCCATTTTTTTACAAGCGCCGTAGGCGCTTGTAAATATCAAAACTAAGTATATCCAAGCGTCGCTTCATTTTGTGCGAAGTTGTGTCAGAAAATGCTCTGAAGCCCGGTGCTTTAAGTCCACATAAAGTTTATGCTCCAAAAAATTCCATTAATTAAAGATACATTTTTCTATTACTTTGGATGACTACTATTACAATAACGTTATCTCACCCAAAACTACAATTCCATCGAAGTCATGCAGAGAGAAAACCAATAGCGCGATGCTCACAGTTGTTAAGGTTAGATAAGATGCCATTAGTAGTTGGTAAATATTTAGACTACTGGAAATGAAATTCTAAATTGCTAGATTCAAAATTTCAGTATAAGGAAGAAAATTAGAAATAACTGATTTACTACGATTTCGCATAACTTATATGGGAAATTACGATAGCACAGCTCAATAAAGCCATTATCATGGCCGTCATTAATTTTCTATCAAATGTACACGTATGGTATATTGATAGACTTTCATCGTACGAGTTGCTGTTGTGTACGAGACATCCACTCTACCTAAGTCGCACGTGTGCGTCCGTCCGTCCGTCCCACGGCGTAACTTTTTTAGTACCTCCGATACAGGGGTGTGTGATAGCTCATTTTGTAGGTCTCGAGCTGTAGGGCCCAGGTTTTCAAAAATTTTTCCCCGGAGGTCTCAAAAAGTGGCACTTTTTGGCCAAAAAGTGTAAAAATGCATGTTTTTTGACGCTACAAAGGAAACTTTTTTAGTACCTCCGATACAGGGGTGTGTGATAGCTCATTTTGTAGGTCTCGGAAAGTTGGTATACGAATCCGGAAAAATTTTTCCCCGGAGATGTCAAAAAGTGGCACTTTTTGGCCAAAAAGTGTAAAAATGCATGTTTTTTGACGCTACAAAGGAAACTTTTTTAGTACCTCCGATACAGGGGCGCATGATACATGAAAATGCTCCCCCGGGCATGCTGAAACAGAATCCGGAAAAATTTTTCCCCGGAGGTCTCAAAAAGTGGCACTTTTTGGCCAAAAATGGCCAAAATGCAGGTTTTTGAAGCTACAAAGGAAACTTTTTTAGTTCCTTCGATACAAGGACGCATAATACATGAAAATGCTCCCCTTGCCATGCTGAAACAGAATCCGGAAAAATTTTTCCCCGGAGATGTCAAAAAGTGGCATTTTTTGGCCAAAAATGGCCAAAATGCAGGTTTTTGAAGCGAATGATGCTTTTCTTCTGCAGGGTACTAGAGTGACGCGCCGCGCCTTCGGCGCGTTCATGGGTTAGCGCAATGTTGGGGACTAGACATCAGTTTGCAAGAAATTAATTTCCAGATAAAACTCTCGAGGCCGCCGCTTTCACCCCCTTTTTTGTACCTAATTTTGGCATATTTAATTTTTGTTGCTTAAACCGGTTCCTTTCGTATTATATCGGGTGAGAGCTTTCAATCCTGATAGTCAAAGCTCTCACCCGATAGAATACGAAAGGTACCGGTTACAACAACGAAAATTAGGTATTGCTAACATTTAGTATTACCCCGAAAAAGAATTAGCCACAAAAAAGCGGCGGCCTCGAGAGTTTTATCTGGAAATTAATTTCTTGCAAACTGATGTCTAGTCCCCAACATTGCGCTAACCCATGAACGCGCCGAAGGCGCGGCGCGTCACTCTAGTCGCTATAATATTTCCCACTCACCGATTTCTGCTCCACCTCCGTACACAAAAACAATGGAATCAAAAACACAATCGCAATTTCATTGATTTTAGCGTTAACGTGGCACACGCGGGCATGATTTTGGGGGTCTCCGAAAATCACAGTTCTTCATCTTTTTGATTTACACTAGCCTAAAGTGTGATAAAGAAGACTACAAAGAATACATTGGGAATCAAACTCTGAATTACGATCAAAAACGAAATTTTTGACTTTGAGACGGAGACAAAATTTAAACTCTTACTGGAATGAGAACATAAGTATGCTCACTAGATTGTCCACAGCCAAATTTTGGAGGGTATCTTGCCAGTGGCGTAGCCAGGATTTTTTTTTTTGGGGGGGTACGTTTTAGTGGAAATTGCCATTTTGGGGGGGGGGGTACCGGATTTTTGGGACCCCCGCTTTTTGGGTTGGGGGGGAGGGGGTACCGACCAAATTTTTACCCAAATTTGCACTGATTTACACTCATTTTTTCAAATTTTCCCATTTTTTTTGGGGGGGGGGTACGTACCCCCGGTACCCCCTGGCTACGCCAGTGCATCTTACCTGTATAACGTTTCAAGAGTAAAGAAGAGGTGAAATTGGCTAAAAATTTGAAAAATTGAAGACTGCAAAATTACAGTTTTGTAATTTTGTTTGTCAGGCTAGTTTTGACCTTTCAGTTAGTTTTGTCCTTATGTTTCCCGCCATAATTTTTGTACCAAATTTCTATTGAACGCAATGTTATAAACAAATTGAATGCCATTTTGTCCAAGAACGTGCCGCGTTTAATTCAATAGAAGCCAAGGTACGATAATTTTAATGATTATATATAAGTTATAAACGAGCTTTATTTAGAAGCGTCTGATCAAGACTTGCTGTTTCCCACCCCTTTCTGTGCTGAATTGTAACAGGTGAATCTTTACAAAATCCTGAAGAGGTCATAGCGTACTTTCAAAGATTTTACACAATTTTTCTTCTATTTATTACTCCTTTGTCTCGAATTTAGGCTAAAATATCGAAACATCGGAAATTGCTTAAAGACTGCCTTGAATTTCCCCCTTCATTCTTGGTACAAAAATTTGAATTTCAGACACAAAATTTTGGGGATTTTGATGCTGCAATCAATATTTTGCAAATTTTCCGTGCCAGTGCCATGCACAGGATTCTTTAAAACGGGAACCAGTTCCATGGATGATTCCTTTCCAACTTACGCTATGAGTTACTTGCGTTTGCGCTGTTCATTGTATTGAATTGTTTCTCCCAGAATTAAATGCTCGGCACAAAATTTCGAGTAAAAAAATTTATTATTTTCAAGGATTTATAAGAATTCTTATTTAAGAGGGAATTTCCAGGAAGATATCGGATAGTTCCTAGAACCAGTCTCTAATTTAATCTGCCTCTGTGAATCGTTGAAAAGTTTAATTCCTGTAGTTTAAATTGGAGATTTTATGGTAAAAGAAAAAAAATCAATGTCAAATCTGAATCTGTCAAAAATTGCTAAAAAAAGGTCCATTGCTGCGAATGTTGAAGCATTTTTTAAAGTTCAGATATGAAAAATTGAGAAAATGTTTGGAAAATGTTAATATACAAAACAGAATGTTTCTTTCTTGTGACAAAAATATAATACGACCCGAGATTAAGCATCTCATGCTTCTAATCAGCTGAGAAAATTGGGTTGTAAATAATTTAAGATTTGTCCAAGAAAAACATTTAACTTGTAGGGCCAATTACTTTTTGGGCGGTTTCAACGTTCCTTACAATGTCTGCCCGATTAGCTCAGTTGGTTAGAGCACGAGACTCTTAATCTCGGGGTCGCGAGTTCGAGCCTCGCATCGGGCTTATGTTTTTGTCACAAGAAAATAATATTTTGTTATGCTTTTTAATGCTTTCTGAATAATTTTCTCTATTCTTATCCAATTAGTTTATCCTTTTTCGACTTAGCCGAATGCCCCATAGGTGATGTGTTATAATTTTTGCTACTGAATACGTTTCCTTGCGACAAATATCGCAGTGTACACAAGAAAGCGCTATTTAAATGAATAATTTGAACTTATTTTTTTCAACTTATTTCTTGCTTAATTTCAACTGCTATTCCTGGAATCAAAGAAGTCCTTGCTTCTTCGGTTTTAGGAAAAACGATCTGGCTGTTAGGTGAGCTTGGACCACAAAATAGATTTCAAATAGCACTTTGTCCTGCCACGAAATCATTTCGCCAGCGCTTCGGCGCTCACGTTATTTTACAGGACTTTTTTAGGAGTTGGTTCGAATTGATATTTGATGATTTCCAAATCATTACGCTCGATTTCGTCTTATTGTTCAGAGTACAGTGAAGATTTACGCTTATTAATTCTAGCCTAGCGTTGGTTTTTCGTGAATTTTCGAGGATCATTCGAGTCAAATAAGCGACAATGGACGACGATTGGGGTAAGTACTTGTGTGATTCGAGGGTTTGTGAGAGTCTTGATGATGCAATAGAATATAGAGCTTCAGTGCAAATATGAGATATTGGGAAAGTCACCATAGGATACATAATCTGGACCTATAACGAATATTCTACAAATTTTCTGAGATTCCGTATTTTGTTAGTTAGATTTAATTCTTCTCTAATCGAGATATTTTGAATCCAGAATTGTGATTGGAAAGTATTGTTCTTTTATTAATCCAACATAATCCATAACTTTCAGATGCCGATGATTTCGACCCGACAGCGCAGTTGGCGGACAAACTGGTCACAGTTGGGCTGGACGACAAGATGAAGAAGGAAAAAGAACCAGAAAAGACGGAAGCAACAAAAGCGGGAAGATCTGGCTCAAATGCTGGCCGCAGCTCTCCTCCAGATGGTGAATTGACAGAAGCGCAGAAACTCGAGCTGCAGAAGGAAAGTGACGCAGATCTTGCGATGGACCTTTTTGGTGAGTTTGTTTTGACTTCATTGATATTCATTCGTCAGTATTCTTTTCTTGATAATTATCTACATTGTTGTCTATTTTCAGGATTCAAAGCGGACAAGCAGAAAACGTGGGAAGATCTGCGCAATCCAGGAGATTTCAAGGAACATGCTCAACTCATGGGGGAGAAAATTGCCTCGAAGTCGTCAAATCCGAACTACTTGCTGTTTACCAATAGTCTCACCGAACACATGTGCCAACCAAGTAAGTATAGTAAAATTTTTTAGGTAATTCATTCTGAATTAGATTCTTTTTGTATTAAGAAAATTTTGTGCTAGCCCACAATTCTATCACTCAGATAATTTTCTGTGATGTTGAAAGATTGGTAATAGTAAAATCATATAAATACCTTATCTCAAATAAACTCGTAAGTGATGTTTACGTCTCTGCGTCGGAATCGAGCTTTGCTCGAATTCGAAAATTCTTTGATCTTTTCTCGCTCTCTTCCCATATATTTTGTATACAACAAAGCCACATTTCAAAAATGACAATTTTTCTAAGAGTTCCAAAAATTTACCGTTGTAAAAGTAAGTGTTAAACCATCGCAAAAATTTATATGTAAGCTTCTCAGACGAAACGATAATATGTTGGCAAACCTGTGAAACTATTTGAAGGAATAGAGCGTATCACCATAATTTAACCGTGACAAAATATCTGAAAAAATTGGAAAATTTAAAGTGTAATTTTCCTAAATAATTAATAAACGATTTTCAGTGACAAAGATCCAGCTGCAAACGATCCGTGACACAGTTCAGCAGTACATAACGGCCATCGAGAAGAGAGAAGCTGAGGAGAAAAAACAGGCTCCTGTCTCCGCGAAACCAAACCAGAAGGGAAAATCAGGCAACAAGAAAACAGTGAACAAGGAAAAGTTTGAGGATTACGTTTCCGACGAGTTTGACGAATACGATTCAACCATGGATCGAGAGTATTTCCGTTAACCGAATGATTTGTTGTTTATTTGATTATTAAAGAATTATGACAAGAAATTATTTTTAAATTGTATTATTTACGTAATTGCAAGCAAAAGTGATATAAGGCACTAGCACATCATTAGGCACTGGTCTGCACAATTGAGTTCTGGAAGGATTTTTCAAGAATCTAAATTTGAATATTTATAAGTTTGGCAATCTATCAAGCTAAACTTTTTATAAAATTGAGTCCGTGTCTGAAATAGTGCTCAAAAATTGGCGTTAAAGGCATAAAAATTATTGTCATGTTTATGTAGTGGTCTTGATATTCTCGGTTTATTTCAGAATAAAGGTTTTGCGATTTGTTGTCTCACTTGACACAATTTTACTCTGAAATCTATATCTTATAAAGTTTATCATACAACCATAAGATGATTTTATTTACCGTATTTAAATCTTATCTGTGATGTGCGACGGATATGTTCGGATTATTTAATGCCATTTTTAGTTAGATAACTCAGAATGCTAATTTATTTCTAAGTGGTTATTGCCGATAGCGTTCGATTTTCTTTGCATTAAATTTATAACCGTCTTAGCTCAAGAATATTCGGAAGAGACAAAAAGTTATATAGTTTTGTTACAAACTTAGTTTGAAGTGAACTTCCTTTCACTTCTAGAACAAAACTCACCGATATAGCAAATATTAAGAAGTCTTTCCAGGAAAAATTTGTTTATGCCGGAATCTGACTCCTCTCGAAGCTCATCTCCCACTCCTGCTGAAAATCGCCCTTATTTTGCGAATCGAAAACGCCGCTGCAACGTCGACTACGGTGAAGCGCTCACAGCTCAACTTCAAAGCAGTGGAATGTATGGTATGTTCGGATTTTTATACTGTAATGTTATTCATAAATTACCATTCAGGCATTGACGTATATCGATGGAAGGATGACGATCTTTCGCTGAGAAGTGCGGCGGGTAACTGTTTTTGTACAAATAAAAAAATTTTGTTTTTGATGTACAATCATATCTCGTTTATCTGGAACTGCGCAGATAATGTTCAAATAATTCTGAAATTATAAAACAGCTATTATAATTTGCCTATCAAAATTTTTATCATAACTTTTTAGCTCAATCGCGTTTGCCTTACGACCGTATGACTGAACGAGAATTGGAAACATTCCCAAGGATGGCAAGGAACCGCGCTTCGACATCTCTCTTCTTGTTCTACAGAAACAAAATCTTAGTGCTCTGGCATTTGGATCCCATAATCGAGTTGACCGTCGAAGACGTGCTCAAAGAGATTCCTCCACCCTACAACAGCGACGTGAAGCTGATAACTGGAGTGCACGCATTTCTTCAGAGATATGGCTACATTAACTTTGGTGTTTTCATGGTTAGATCGAGTAAGTCAAGATTAGCGAATGTTATTTGTGGCCTCGGAGTATATGCAAAGGGTTTTGAAACTATTAGGCACAAAGGTGCAAGTACAATAGAGTCAAGTAGACAAAATGATGTAAGCATAACCATCTTACTAGTAACTGCTAACAATAACTTCTTTTTTTTCTCGTACTTTCTGGTGGTATAGAAATTATTTTTCAAATAGAGAGTTAATTAAATCGCTGGTTAAGACGATAAATTATTAAAAAATCACGACTGTAACAACTCATAAATGAAATGTTAATCATAGGTTCTATACCAATAACAACTTTTCAGGAATGAAATGCGAAGTGCCGCGGAAAGTGGTCGTTATCGGAGCAGGTACTGCAGGATTAGCCGCAGCTCGCCAGCTCAAGTTCTTTGGATTCGAGGTGAAAGTGCTCGAAGCTAGAGTAAGTCACATCGTAATTTATGCACATTGCATCCAACTAAATTTTGTCGTTTTAGCCTCGTTTCGGTGGCCGCGTAATGACATATCATCATGGCAAGAATTCTGCTGATTTGGGTGCACAGATTGTTATGGGAATCAGTGAGTTTTATTAGCAAGTATTATTTGTATGATATAGTTGACTTACCCCGATAACGTATTCTTGTCTCTTTTAGTCTCAATCTTACCATCTTTTTTCAAAATGGTTTCATTTTAGCGGGAAATCCGGTTATTACTTTGGCAAAGGTAAGCTTTTTCATTATTGGACGCCATTATTTTGATCAATACAATTTTTGTAGCAACTTCCCGTGCACTTGATTCGTGTATCCCACAAATGTCCGATCTATGATCATCAAGGGAGAATAGTGGATCCAAGAAAGGATGAGATGATCCAAAAGTCGTTCAACAAAATCCTAGAGACTTGTTCCTATGTAGCTCATGGTCTTGGGATCAGTGAAATAAACGGAGAAAAGCTCAGTCTGGGCGAGTGCTACGATCACATTTTGAAGTCAGTTATTAGTTTATCGCCAACGGTATTTTTGAGAATTTGTTTACAAACTTTTCCCACTCAACTCTCATTCCAGAAATTTATTATTTTCAGTCAACAAGAACTACGAGTCCAGGAAAGACGCTTGGCTCATTGGACGAAATATCGCGATCTTTGTCTCAAAATGAATGAAATCAACAAAAAGGTCAGTCGAAATTTATATCCAAGCTTTTGTTTTTCAAAAAGAATGCAAGGTTCCTGAATTGCATCCTTTACCCTGGTAGTGGTGACAATATTCCGAGCAAATGGATAAAAATATCAAACCGGCTAATTTCTGGTGACCATTAAAATTTGCTGCAAAATACCAGTCTAAAAATTCTGCAAACTTTGTCAATTCCCCCCGTGATTTTTAATGCAAAAATCAGGAAATTTTTTTCTAACAGCTTTTTTGAGTCAAACATCATAGAACGCTACAGAAAACGTTTTTTCACGACTAGCGATGTTTAGAACACACATGAAAAAAAAATTTCAAAATTTTAGTTAATTTTGCAAAAAATGTAGGTTTTTTCCTAGTTTGGTGAGTTTTTAGTAATATTACCGTATTTTCTCTAATTGAGCCCCCGGGGGCT